GTCAACCGACGGTAGACAACTTTTCTAGAAAACTATATTACCCGAAAAGATATTATATTATATTTAGAAATGGGTTTGTAGGTAGCTTTCAAAGAATCCACAAAGATGAACTTTAGTTAATGAATGTAGTTTATTGGAAAAATGATGATATTAATGAATAAAAAAATAGATGAATGGAAGGCAAAATGAATGATGATTATGATTTATGAGGTTGAATCCTAATTTTTAAACACTAAGTGCATCACAACAACAACAAGTGAATTCCCTTTTCATTCATATGAGTTTAGTAATCATTAATTTCTTTTTTAAAAAATAAGAAAAAATAGACAGTCAAAATGTGTCAAACTATAACTTTTGAGCTGATAATTGATGTCTTTCACTTATCATCCAAACATGTTTATACCTTAAATGTAACGGAATTCATAACAACAATATAATCTTTACTAATAGATCAGTGAGCATGTGTAACTTTAGAGAGTGAAAATCAAATCATATGTTTCTGAATATAACATTTGACCATTAAAAAAGTATTTAAAAAGTAATTTCAAACCAACTCGACCCAACCCAACCCAATCCGTCCCTTAATGATTGGGCATTTCAAATTAACTCGAACCAACTCGAACCAACTAGACCTGACCCTTAATAATATAATAGTAGGGTTAAAAAGAGTTAATATAAAGAATGGTGAAAGAAAGAAAATATGAGAATAAACTAATAGAAAAAAAAGAGAAAGGCAAAGTAAAGATGGTGGAATCCATCTGGAGTGAGAAAATCAGAAAAAAAGGCTTTTTTTTTAATTTTTTATTTATTCAATTTCTCTCTCTCTCTCCTCTCCCCTATATATTTATTTCTTTGCTCTCTCAGCTTTCAATACAAAAAAAAAAAAAAAAAAAAAATTTCCCAATTCTCTGTTCTTATGAAACAGNAAAAAAAAAAAAAAAAAAAAACATTTCCCAATTCTCTGTTCTTATGAAACAGAGTTAAGAAACAACAAATCCAACAGAGTTTAGAAGCCGAACAAGATTTGAAGCTCTTCCAACTTTCTAGGAAATGTCTGATCCTCAGAACGACGCCGTTCTTGCTTACCAAACCAATAATGTCCACCATCAGCTTCCCCTTCTCACAGTTACTCTCAAGGTCCTTTTTTTTTACCTTTCATTTCTGTAATTTTCTTAATCTAAGCTTATTGAATTTTCATGGAGTGGTTAATTTTAATTTTACAGTTTGAAGAACTCGTTTACAAAGTGAAATTACAAGGGAAAGGCGGCGGCTGCTTTGGCGGCGGCGGAGGTGGTTCGTTGGAAGCTACTAGAGAAAAAACCATTCTCAATGGCCTTAGTGGCGTTGTTTTACCCGGCGAAATCCTCGCCATGCTTGGCCCTTCCGGCAGCGGTAAAACTACCCTTTTGACGGCTCTTGGCGGCCGTTTATCCGGGAAACTCTCCGGTAAAATCACTTACAACGGCCAGCCATTTTCCGGCGCTACCAAGCGCCGGACTGGGTTTGTTGCCCAAGATGACGTTTTGTACCCTCATTTAACCGTTTGTGAAACCCTTCTCTTCACTGCCCTCCTCCGCCTCCCTTCCTCCCTGACCGCCGACGACAAAGCCCAAGCCGTTGAGCGAGTCATCTCCGAGTTGGGTCTGACTCGGTGTCGCAATAGTATGATCGGCGGCCCACTTTTCCGGGGAATCTCCGGCGGAGAGAAGAAAAGAGTTAGTATCGGTCAAGAGATGCTGATTAACCCGAGTTTGCTGTTGCTGGATGAGCCTACCTCCGGCTTGGACTCGACCACTGCCATGAGAATTGTCACCACCATTAAACGCTTAGCGAGTGGCGGTCGGACCGTCGTGACGACGATTCACCAGCCGTCGAGCCGCCTCTACCACATGTTTGATAAGGTTATTTTGCTGTCGGAAGGCAGCCCAATCTACTACGGCTCAGCTTCATCTGCCATGGATTACTTCTCCTCCATTGGATTCTCAACTTCCATTACAATCAATCCAGCTGATCTCCTTCTTGATCTTGCAAATGGTATGCTAATCTTTTCCTTTTTCTTAATACACTTGTTTTTCTTGATATACTCTAAGATCTCACGTGGACACGGAAGAAAAAGAAATATTTTTTATAAGAACGTGAAAACCTAACTTTAGCATAAACATTTTAAAATCCTTGAAGGAACACGAAAATGAAAGTTTAAGGAAGAGAATATCGGTTAGTAGTAGGCTTGGGCGGTTACAAAAACTATCCGAGCTAGAGTAGGCGGAGCCCTAAAAGGGGTGGACACGAGACAGTGTGTCAGTAAGACTCTAGCCACGAAAGGGGTGGATGGGGGGTCCCACATCAATTGGAAAAAGAACGAATGAGAACGCTGGCCCCTAAGGGGGTGGATTGTAGTCCCACATCGATTGAAGAAGGGAACGAGTGTCAGCGAGAACATTGGGCTCTCAAGGAGTGGGTTGGGGATCCCACATCGATTTGAGAGGGGATGAGGGCTAGGGAGGACGCTGTACTCTGAAGGGGGTGGATTGTAAGATCACCCATTGGTTAGAGAAGAAAATGAAGTATTCTTTATACTATTGATGCAAATATAGATTGTGGGCTTGAACGGTTACACGTACTAGTTAAGTTACTAATGCTTAATTTTTTTTTTAATGACAGGAATTGCCCCTAATTCGAAGTATGGAAATGAAGGAGGAGAGAACATAGAAGAAGAACAAAAGGGAGTGAAGGAAGCACTAATTTCAGCTTATGATAAGAACATTTCCTCCACTTTGAAGGCTGAGCTTTGCAGTTTGGATGCCAATAACTTCACCAACTATGCAAAAGATGCCTCAAGTAATAATCCCACTCATTCAAAAACACACTTTTTCTTGTTTTATGAAAGTAAGATGGATCAAAAGCAAAAAAGATTTAATTTTTAACGAAACCCATTGAAGAAAAAGTATAGAAAACAGGAATGGAATTGGATAATGAAGAAAGGTTTTAAGGAAAATGAATGATTTGAGAGAGGCATTGGATTCGAATGATAATTAATTGGTGGGTGGTGTGGTGTGGTGTGGGTGTAGAGAGAGAAAGGAGATGCACAGAGGAGTGGTGCACCAGCTGGTGGTATCAATTCAGAGTGCTGTTGCAGAGAGGGCTGAAGGAGAGACGATATGACGCCTTCAATCGGCTGAGGATTTTTCAAGTCATAAGCGTTGCTTTTCTTGGTGGACTCCTTTGGTGGCACACTCCGTCCTCTCACATTGAAGATCGCGTAAGAATCTCTTTCTTCTTTCTTCTCTCTCTCTAAACCCTTTGAACATTGTGATCCGAACTCGTAGAGAGTAGGGACCGAGAATATAATCTACTTCTCCCACCTCACCTCTCTAAACCCTTTTTAGTATTTGATTATGGTAAATGAAATCAGGATCTGGAAGGGGTTAGAGATAAGAGATTATATTCTTAGTCCCTGTCTCCGACTCCATCACTTTCTAAACCCTTTTCAATATTTGAAAATCATGAACGAAATCGAGATTTGGATAGAGTCGGAGAATGAGACTGAGAATATAATCTCCGTCTTCGACCCCGTTTCTCTCTAAACCTTTTTCAAGATTTGAAAATCATGACAGATTTAGAACCTCTCTAAACCATTTTCAATATTTGAAAATGGTGAGTGTAATCTCAATCTGACAATGGTTGGATTTGACATTTTCAGATAGCGTTGCTGTTCTTCTTCTCAGTATTTTGGGGGTTCTACCCGCTCTACAACGCAGTGTTCACATTCCCACAAGAACGCAGCATGCTAATCAAGGAGCGCTCATCCGGCATGTACCGTCTCTCCTCCTACTTTCTAGCGCGCACAGTGGGCGACCTCCCATTAGAGCTGGCCCTCCCCACCGCCTTCGTATTCATAATCTACTTCATGGGAGGCCTCAACCCCCACCCACCCACCTTCCTCCTCTCCCTCCTCATCGTCCTCTACAGCGTCCTCGTCTCCCAAAGCCTCGGCTTGGCCTTCGGCGCCATCCTCATGGACGTCAAGCAAGCCACCACCCTCGCCTCCGTCACCACCCTCGTCTTCCTCATCGCCGGTGGCTACTACATCCAACAGATCCCCCCTTTCATCCTCTGGATGAAGTACCTCAGCTACAGCTACTACTGCTACAAGCTGCTCTTGGGTGTGCAGTATAAAAACGACGACGTTTACGAGTGTCGGAATGGGGAGCTTTGTCGGGTGGCGGATTTCCCGGCCGTTAAATCTGTCGGGTTGGATGGGCTGTGGGTTTGTGTCTGTATTATGGCTCTCATGTTGGTGGGTTACCGCTTGATTGCGTATTTGGCTCTTCATAGGGTCAGATTGAGATGAAAATGTTTTTTTCCTTTTTTTTTTTTGGTAAAGTTATATGTTTTTGTAATTTGTTTTTGGTTTTGGATACCCCAAGTTAGCCTTCTATGATCGGACAAGTATATATATCATATTATATCGTATCATAATTTTCTTGATCCATTTAATTTAATTTCTATTTAATTATTTAATTTAATATTTTCGATTAATCTCGATTGAAATAGATATTTTAAAATTTTTATATATAAAAAAAATATATATTAATCGTATCATCATGTCCAAACCCATTATGAAAAAGGTAAAAACAAAAATTTAAATTAAAACTAATGATTAATTAATTTTATTTTAATAAAAATTCATATTTATGGTAAGAAAAAAAATTAAATTAAATTATAGAAAATACCTCTAAATTATACCATTATTTAAAGACTAATTCTTACCTTAATTTAAAAAATATTATAATCACCGACATATTAATTTAGGTAATTACTATGTTTTAGTATAATTTTGAAATATTTATAAAAAGTGATAGAAAATATTATAATTTTTGAAATAATAAAAACTTTCGATGATATGAATATATATAATTTAGCTGAAAAATATTTAGATTTTAATAATATTATTTTTTTTAATGAAGAGTGGAAAGGGAAAATACAAGTGAAATTAAAATTTAATTAAAAAGAAAAATAGAGAAAGAGGGAGGAAGAGGAAGAGGGGTTTGGTCCGATGGCACTTGCTGGCAGAGTAGGTTGTCGCTGAAGGTGGATCTGAATCTGATCGTCTGATGAGATTGAGACCAGAAAGCGGCGAAGAAGAAGGAGAAACTGTAATTCTCTCAATCCAAACTGCCATTTTCGATGTAATCTTAATTCATAATCTGCTCTTCAGGTCAGTCTTAATCCTTAAACCTAAACTCTCTCTCCCATTGATTCTGTTCAATGCACTTCTGTACCGTGATTTCTCGCCATGTTTTTTAATCGATCCCTCTAGTCAATCCGCGGACGAACTTCAATTTTAACATCCCCACACACACTCTCTCTACTGTGGTTTTTGGGGATCACTATGATCTAGAGTTAAGCAATTCAGTTGTTATAATGAAGGATTTTGGTGCGTTTCTGAGGAATTATTGAAGTTTTGTGCCGAATCAGAGAAAAATGGTGTTGGGTAGATTTAGGGATGTTTTCTCGTTTGTAGCCAGTCGTTTGTCGGGCCGACAGTCTTCTACGGATGCGTATAAATCATCGTCGCCTCCGTTGATCGATTCTTCGCCTCCTCTTGTTGCTGGATTTTCAAGTCCTGCGCTTAAGAACAATATAAGGCTTTCATCGTCTCTTCAGGATCTTTCTGCTTACCGTAGACTTGATCTCGAAGAGGGTAATCATGGACTTGGGAGTGCAGCTTCTGATTTTAGACCGCCCCAGCGAGAGAATGCTGGCTCTAGTTTCTCGAAGGAGAAGGCATTGCCTGGAGGCTCCTCCCGGTGGCCGATCAAGAAGTTGGTGCGAACAATTGTTCTTTTTCTGTGTCTTTTGCTCGTTTGTTTTCTAATTTATACGGTTTCTATGTATATTTATTCATATTGGTCTCAAGGAACACCAAGATACTTTGTGGTGCTTGACTGTGGAAGTACTGGGACTCGAGCGTATGTATATCAAGCAAATATTAATTATAAGAAAGATGGAGCCCTTCCCATTGCCATCAGGTCATATACAGGACAGAAGAAGAAATCGAAGTCTCAGAGCGGACGGGCTTATGATCGAATGGAAACAGAACCAGGGCTTGATAAGTTGGTTCGTAACGTGACTGGTTTGAAGAAAGCGATTAAACCCCTGCTTCATTGGGCTGAGAAGCAGATTCCTAAGCGTGCCCATGAAAGCACTTCTCTTTTCCTCTATGCGACCGCTGGGGTTAGAAAACTACCACCTGCAGATTCGAAATGGATTCTGGACAATGCTTGGTCTATATTAAAGAGTTCGCGCTTTCTTTGCCAGAGAGAATGGGTTAAAACCATTACAGGTACAGAAGAGGCTTACTATGGATGGATTGCCCTTAACTATCAAAAACAATTGTTGGGGGTTAAACCAAGGGAACTAACATATGGGGCACTTGATTTGGGAGGGTCTTCCTTGCAAGTAACTTTTGAAAGCAAGGAACGAAATGAGTCGAGTTTGAACATTAGAATTGGAAATGTTGATTATCATCTTAATGCTTATTCGCTTACCGGGTATGGTTTAAATGATGCATTTGGGAAGTCTGTTGTCCACCTATTAAGAAGGATTCAAGAACATGAAAAGCTAGACTTGTCTAAATTTAAACTTAACCACCCTTGCCTGCATTCTGGGTACAATGAGAAGTATACCTGTAACCAGTGTGGAAAATTGTTGGGTAGAGGAGGTAATTCAGGAATTTCTCTAAGGCTGATTGGTGCTCCGAATTGGGAAGAATGTTCTGCACTTGCTAAAGTTGCAGTAAATTTTTCCGAATGGTCAAATACGAGTGCTGGACTTGATTGTGATGTGCAACCATGTGCCATAACTAATGACTACCCTCCACCGTATGGGAATTTTTATGCCATTTCTGGTTTCTTCGTGGTGTTTCGATTTTTCAATCTGACTTCAGAGGCTGCACTTGATGATGTATTAGAAAAGGGTCACAAATTTTGTGAGAAACCTTGGGAAGTTGCACGGGCTAGTGTTGCTCCACAGCCCTTTATTGAGCAATACTGCTTTAGGGCACCATACGTAGTCTCGCTCCTTAGAGAGGGGTTGCATATTACTGATAAACAAATTATTATTGGTTCAGGGAGTACAACTTGGACTCTCGGGGTTTCACTGTTGGAGGGGGGGAAGACGTCTGCAGTTACAACCAGACTACAGCTCCATGGTTATAAATTTTTTAAAATGAAGATAGATCCTCTAATTCTTATCGTCGTTTTGTTCACGTCATTGTTTTTCCTGCTTTTTGCATTATCCTGTGTTGGTAGTGCAATACCTAGATTTTTTCGGAGACCCTATCTCCCAATTTTCCGGCATAATACTGTCTCTACCACATCTGTTCTAAACATTCCATCTCCTTTTCGGTTACAGCGGTGGAGTCCAATGAGTTCTGGTACGTTTCTACACCTGAAATATCTTATGTTTTTACATTGCAATATCTGACTGTGTTCTAATATTTATATGTGAATCTTCTTGTTGAGCTTGTCTAACATGAAATATCTTAGTCGCATGAGCAATGTGAATGTGTTAGGCCAATCTTTGATTTGATGGGATGTTAAAATTTCGTTTTATGGAGGAACCTATGAAGATTTCATCTACTAAAATGGTTTTTGGTCTGAATGCATATTCTCATAGCTTTGTTATTGTCATTGTGACGTTTTCTGTGGATCGATATATCTTCATCTGATCTTGTGGAAGTCGAAAAGCTAAAAAAGAAATGGTTACTCTCTAACTTTAGGGCATCTCAACTGGTTAAGGCATTATACCATCAACTAAAAAGATCAAAAAGTTTGAATCTCCATTGTTGTTTTATAACTTAGTCTTCGGGTTGTACACATTTGAATGCATTTTCTGCATCATTGTAAAATACTAGGCTTGTGCAAAAAGTAGAAGATTCATTTTTATCTATCCTCAAAGCCAAATATCATTTTAAGCACATTCAAAGCTAGAAAAAAACTGGATGGTTCGCACATCTATATAAGTATATAAAATTGTTTCGGATCTAATCTAGTTATCTCGACTGCTTTTTCTGTAAGATAGCTTCTTTTTGGTATAAAGTATGATGAATGCAATGTCAAACATGGTGTGACAGGGGATGGCAGAGTCAAGATGCCACTGAGTCCAACAGTTAAAGGCTCTCAAGAAAGACCCTTTGGCTTAGGACATGGCTTTGGCAGCAGTAGTGGCATCCAACTTATGGAGTCATCCTTGCACCGGTCATCCAGCAGTATGGTCTCGCATAGCTATTCTTCAAATAGTCTTGGCCAAATGCAATTTGACAGTAACAGCGTCGGTTCGTTCTGGACCCCACGTCGTAGTCAGATGCGCCTTCAAAGTAGACGTTCGCAATCTCGAGAGGATCTGTCATTGACGTCGGCTGAAACACACATGGTGAAGGTTTAGAAGAAGCAGGCTTTAAAGTGTAGATGATCGCAATCTCGAGAGGATGTTTCTTCGTCGTTGGCCAATGAAACACACAGATGCTGAGGGTTTAGAAGAAGCAGACTTCAGAAATTTTGGTAGACACTACTAATTTGACTTCCCTCCCCCCTGCATTGCTTTTCTGACTCTTGAATAGATAATATATGGAAAAAGTTTGCATAGAGGTTCATGAATTCAATTTAGGAGTTCTTTCTGTATCTGAAGGAACAATTTTTATATGAGAAGTAGATGTGCATATATATAGTCCCGTTAAAGCATCGACATATCCCGACATGAATAAGCCTCATAATAATTATGAGAAGGAAATTTTTCTGTAAAGAGAGTAGGTTGTGATACTCATCACAAAAGAACCGGCGGCCCTCGAGTGGTCCCATCCAACTACTACGCAAGGACTTGCAGAGTGGAACCGTGCAGTACTAGACACAAGATAGATCTTCCAAGACCTGGACAAGTGTGACATAGGCGCACTTGAAGCGCTACATCACTATGATTGACATGTGCGGCATAAGCGTGAAGCATGCCTTGGCCTTGCCTAGTCGAGGACGGGTGCAAGAAGCAACAAAAATACCACTTTATGATTATAACAAAACTTTTTAAAACTTACCAATAATTTTTACAATTACAAATTCTAAAATAATAAAAATAATTTGTGAAATAGTCTAAGACTATATAAATATAAGAAGATGGGTATACAAAATCTACTTCATGATGCCCCCATCTAAGCGGAGAACCGACTCGAACGGTCCGGTTCGGCCTAAAATTATTGTTGGTTAATTTCATTTCACAGCATATTGAGATCACTTTCTTTCACAAACAATCCGTGGAAGCCGTAAGGGACCCGACGCGGCAGCTTCACGACAGCGATAATCTCGAGCTTCGGCGACTTGGCGTCCATGACGATGAACTTCGACTCGCCGAAGTTTTCGTCGTGAACGTACGAGACAACATATCCGTCGTCTTCCTCCAACGCCGTCTTGTCGGAACTTTCCCTTTCCCTCGGCACGAAAAACGGCTCGCCGCCGTAGCAACCAGGCCCGAAAATCCTACTCGCAACGATGCAGTCTCGGCGTTCTTCTTGAGACACGTCGAGCTTTACTACTCCCGATATCTTAGGCATTGGATCTCCAACGCCGGCGTATACGAACTTGTTTTTCTTCCCGATGTACGACGGATTTATCACTCCAAAGTCTAAGTTTCTGGTAGACAATGGCCGCCGCGTAACTATTCCTGTTTTCAAGTCGATTCTGACCTCCTCCATTAAGGCGTGAACCAGATCCATCCTCTCCAGTGTGTGTTCGACGGAGAGAATGTTCGGCGCCAGCAGAACCACAGCGTCGTCTTCATCCCAAGCGTTAATGGCGTGAATCAGGTTAAATCCAGGTACATCGAACCACTCCATCTTCGATTCGTCGTTAGCGTATCGAGGAATTAGTCCTACTCTTGAAACTGTCGATGGATCTGTTCCAACTGGAGATCGTCCTTCCATTATCATCAGCATAGGATTAAATCCAATCTGAATCTCTGTAAATACAGCGTACTTTTTCGTAATTGCAAAATCGTGCAGGAAGGAAGGTCGATTCATCGAAAATATCGGTACATCGGACTGTTTGGCTCCGTTTTTGTCGAATCGAAAGAAGGTTAAAAACGGAGGCAGAGGACCGTACCGAAACGCGAATGTTTCACCAGTATCGGGATCGAATTTCGGATGAGCCGTCATACTCATAAACAGATTTCCGTCGAAATCCTGGCGGCCGAGAGTTTCAATTTCGCCGTTCGGAGCCAATCGGATCGAATACGGTAAATCGGACTCACCTAGGGCGTAAAGGCGGTCGCCAAAGAAAGCGACACTGGTGTTGGCAAGGCCAATGCCGTTCGCCGGATTGTACTGGCCGGTTAACACCCGGCCAGCTGCGACGGCGCCCCGCGCGGCGGAGGCTGTGAGTCCATTGAAGCCGGAGAAAACATTGGGGAAAACAGGATGACCAGCATCACGCTCCAGAATGTATTTGTAAGTGTTAAGGATAGTTGACCGTTCATTATAAGGCAAATATCTAGATATTTGCCTTACATTACGGGTTACCATATTTTCCCTTTTACTAAATGCAAATATATTGTATTCATTTATTATTCTTTCCTTTTATCGCTATTTCCTTATTATTTGTAATTTACCTTATTTCTGTATTCTGTAAATGATTATAAATAAGAGAAGTCTCACACCATTTGGGTGTGGTGGATTAATCAAACATTCACATGGTATCAGAGCCCTTTCGGTTTAACAACCCTGATCCTTTCTTCTCTATGGCTTCCGAATCTTGTTATCATCTTCTTCCTTTCAATACTCTAATCCATATGATCACCATCAAACTTTCTTCCTCCAATTATCTTCTTTGGAAAAGCCAACTTCTCCCTCTTCTTGAGAGTCAAGACATGCTGGGCTATGTCGATGGAACTATGGTTCCACCACCTCGCTTTGAACCAGAAACCTCCTCAACATTCAACCCCAAATATTTGGCATGGAGAGCAGCCGATCAACGACTTCTCTGTCTCCTGCTCTCCTCTCTCACTGAGGAAGCCATGGCTGTTGTCGTTGGTCTCTCTACTGCACGTGATGTTTGGCTTGCGTTGGAAACTACGTTTAGCCATCAGTCAAAAGCTCGTGAACTGAGACTCAAGGATGACTTGCAGTTGATGAAACGTGGCACAAAACCTGTTGCTGAGTATGCCCGTGCCTTCAAAAAAATTTGTGACCAACTTCATGCCATTGGCAGACCCGTCGAGGACATTGATAAAGTGCACTGGTTCCTTCGTGGACTCGGCACCGAATTTTCAGCTTTTTCTACTGCTCAGATGGCTCTCACCCCTATCCCCTGTTTTGCAGATCTAGTCTCTAAAACTGAAAGTTTTGAGTTGTTCCAGCGCTCCCTTGAGTCCTCTGACTCCACTCCTACAACATTCATAGCCACTAATCGTGGTCGCACCCATGAAAGTCACCCTGCTTCCTTTACCAACCAGCGAGGTCGTTCTTATTCTCACAAAAACAACTCTTCTAATCGAGGACGAACCCACTCAAGTCAGGGTCGTCGACCACCTCATTGCCAAATATGCCGCAAAGAGGGCCATTATGCTGACCGCTGCAACCAACGGTATGTTCGACCTGATTCTTCTCATGCTCACCTTGCTGAAGCCTTTAACACGTCATGTTCTATTGCTGGACCCGATGCTGCTGATTGGTTTTTGGACACTGGAGCTTCGGCCCATATGACTGCCGACCCATCAATTCTGGATCAGTCTAAAAATTACACGGGTAAGGACTCTGTGATTGTAGGAAACGGTGCATCCCTACCCATTACCCACATCGGTACTCTTTCTCCTGTTCCAAATATTCACTTATTAGATGTCTTGGTTGTCCCTCACCTCACTAAAAATCTTCTTTCCATAAGTAAATTAACGTCTGATTTTCCTCTCTCCGTTACATTTACTAATAATCTTATTACTATCCAGAATCATCAAACAGGAAGGGTGGTGGCAACCGGTAAAAGAGATGGAGGGCTATATGTGCTGGAGCGCGGCAACTCTGCTTTTATTTCAGCCCTTAAAAACAAATCTTTACGTGCTTCATATGATTTATGGCATGCTCGTCTGGGTCATGTGAATCATTCTGTTATTTCTTTTTTAAATAAAAAAGGTCATCTTTCTCTTACGTCTTTATTGCCTTCTCCATCATTATGTAATAGTTGTCAGCTTGCGAAAAGCCATCGATTGCCTTATTCCCGCAATGAACGTAGGTCGTCTCATGTGTTAGATCTTATTCATTGTGATCTTTGGGGTCCTTCTCCCATCAAATCAAATTCAGGTTTTCTTTATTATGCTATTTTTATTGATGATTATTCTCGATTCACTTGGTTTTACCCTTTAAAATTTAAATCTGATTTTTTTGATATTTTTCTTCAATTTCAAAAATTTGTGGAAAATCAATANAAACGTGGCACAAAACCTGTTGCTGAGTATGCCCGTGCCTTCAAAAAAATTTGTGACCAACTTCATGCCATTGGCAGACCCGTCGAGGACATTGATAAAGTGCATTGGTTCCTTCGTGGACTCGGCATCCACCATCAACTCTCTTGTCCATATACACCTGCTCAAAATGGTCGTGTTGAGAGAAAACATCGTCATGTGACTGAGACTGGCTTGGCCCTTCTCTTTCACTCTCATCTTTCTCCTCGTTTTT